GGAGACTAGGAGATACGTCGGGGAAGCAACTCCTTCTGCAGCCTACGAAAAGGTCACCGAATACACTCATTTAAAATTCATTCCAAATGATTTGAAAGTAAAATGCAAGCTGCAAGTTCTCACAAAATGTGAGTGAAAAAAAAAAAAAATCTAATGTTGGACTATCTAAGCAAGTCATTGAAATGCAAAGAAATAAACAGGGTCATTAGGAAAATTACAGGAGATGCGGTTTAAGAAAGATTTCGGTGTAAGAGATAAAAGGCAGGGTCGGAGAATATAGGACTGGTCGTTGGGCCACTGGCCATTTTAAATGCACGTAAGACAAAGGACTCCCCTAAAAAGTGAAGGAAAGTGACCGACTAAAGAATACCTGATGCAGACGTGAAAAACTCGTACCCAAGGCACATAATGAACATCTATAAAGCGATAAAGAAATACCGACCTGCAGCCAAATGCTACGAAAAGGGCTTTCACAGCAAAGGAGATACGAATGGGCGATAAACATATGAATAGAGGCTCCAAGTTGCTAACAGTCCCTGAAATGAAAGTCGGGACATTAAGGAGATATTACTGCCACTCATCAAACCGGGTACAGTGAAAAACTGGACAATACCCAGCTGAGGCCGAGTAACATCCAGCAGTGAGAACCCTCGTCCACCCTCGCTGGGAGGGTTCGATTAGCAGAGCCGTCTGGGAAAACAACTGACAGCTTCAAAATATTCAAAGCCGCCCCGGCCGCTGGGGCTCAGCGGTCGAGAGTCATCCAAGCACCAAGAGGTCGCCGGTTTGATTCCCGGTCAGGGCACAGGCCCGGGTTGCAGGCGGCTCGATCCCCAGCAGGGGGCGTGCAAGAGGCAGCCGCTGATGTTTCTCATTGATGTTTCTCTCTCTCTCCCTTCCTTTCCCTCTAAAATCACTTTTTTTAAAAAAATACCAACACTGAAGCCAAGTCAAGAGCCGTCCCCACGGGCACCAACTTTGCGAGTTACTCTCAGTCAGCTTCCTCAATCACCCAGCAGACATTTGCCATTAAGGCTCCAATTTAAAAATCACCGGGCTGGCGGATTTGGGAGAGAAAGCCTCCGATATCCTCCAACTCCATTTCTGCCCGAATAAGGGAACTACATACATTAAACCCCACGGTAGAAATAAAATCCACACTCCGTAAGAAAGGGCACGTCGGCATCTAAACGACCGGAGTTCCCGAGAGAAACGCTATCCTCGATTTTTGTTTCACGAAGGCCCAGCAGCGCACAAAATCGGCAAAGCGGCGACCAAGGCTGAGCACCCCAGAGCCACGCACGATCCTACAGCGTCAAGGGGGGACTCGGGGAGGCCACCGAAACCCCACCAGAGTGATGCCCTGGGGCAGAGCTTCTCTTAGGCACCACCCCCTTCTCCTTTGGAGGTAACGCCGCTGCTGAGAAAGGAGCCCTGGGCTGAGACTGACCTGGCATATATTTGTAGAGCGTCTACTATGTGCCAGGCACTGTTCTAGAATCTTAAACTCTGGGCTCAGACCCCGGGTCCCCCAGGCAGAGGTATGGGAGCCTCGCTGTCATCTGTGGGTGGTGGAGCTCACAGAACTGCCTTATTCAGTGGGGATATTTCAGGGATGAAGAAGGTCGTACACAGCACAGGACCCGGCACACAGAAGGTGCTCAATCGGTGCTGCATTTAGTAGGATCTGCTCCCAGTAAAATAACCCCTCCCACCTTGGCCCCTCTCCCGGACTCCAAGTGCTCCCACCCAGGTCCACCCTCCACAGAGGCAGCCACTATCCAAGTTTGCATCAGAGAACATTCTAGAAGGTTAATACCATTCAGTGTTAATATTACGTAGAGAATGGCTTACATAGAAAATGTTTCTTTTGAAGCACTTTCAAACTCCTGCTCACCCTTTAAGGACCGATCAAGTGTCACCTCCTCTGAGATGCCCTCTGGATTCCTCCCCATGGAACACACACCGGCTCTCTCCCTAGTTCCCTGGTCCTGTGCTGTGACCGGGCAGAGCACCACCTGCTGGCCGAGTTCGCCGTCTGGGCATCTGTCTCCTGCACAGGGCGCTTGGGGCACATTGAAAGAGGGCCCGACACACACACCCCCCCCGCCTGACCCCGCTTCTAAAACATCTGTAATACTTTCAACACTAAAGATAAATTTTAAAAAAAGAAGAAGCCTTCTCTAAAACCTTGCGTCCTGACTTAAATACCATGAGTATAAAAATGTAGAGTGTCTTTTCAAATTTCTTATATTTGACGTCAAAAAGCTTTATTAATAAGCAATAAAAAACAAAACCAAAAAGGATTGTAAAACTCCAGCCACTTGTTCAGAGTGTCGAACACGGTCAACGTTTGACTCTGACCTTGATTTCACCTTGAGCTGGGTTACAGTCACGGGGACTGTTCTGTGTCTGCAGAGAAACCTATTTGGGGGTTTCAGGCTTCCCGCCGATGGAGGGGCACAAGCCCCTCCTCCCGTGAGCCCTCTGAGCTTCCCTCCGCCTCTGTTCCAGGCGAGAACTCGCTCCAGCCTGTGGTTTCCAACAAGATACAAAGTAGCCGCTCATTCCTCCGAGGTGCGGGTCCCACCTGCCGGCGGAAACCCGTCAGCCAGCCACCTGGCCTCGGGCCCTCCGGCCGCACGTGGTCTCCGCGCAGACAGCCTGTCATCGCTCTCCCGTCCCCTTCGGTTCCCCGCTATCTGTTCCCAACACTTTCAAACGTGCTTATTTTCTCGTGTCTCCTCTTTTGGAAACACCAGCCTTTATCTGGAGGGTTTCATCTTGATTCCTCCCGTTTCCCCCCACAATGAATGTTCATTAAAATATTTTAAATTAAGACCTTCGCGGCCTCGCCGGCTGAGCGCGTCGGGTCTCCCCGTACGACACATTTTCAGTTCTTATCTCGGAATTTCAGGCAGCTCATGCATTATATTCTATTAAAACCTCGATGCCGCCCCAGGTTGTCACCGCTCGGAGATCACAGCTCTCCGCGGGCTGTCTCGTGAGGGGTACACTCACAGATTCGCTCTGTTGGCGGCGAGCGCGGCCCACGAGCCTGTAATTCGCACCTCACTTGATATCGCCATTCAGCAGAGCAGCGTAAAAATGAGCAATTATTTATTTAGATTACGGCGCGGGCGTTCGAGGGACGCGGGAGGTGCGCATAAATTGCGGGGCCTCCGCCTTCCAGGAACCGAAGGAGAGGGAGAGGGCGCCGGGAGGCGAGCCCTCGGGAATCACTAACTAACTGCAATTACGTGACCACTTCGCTTCTCCCGTAACCTTTTTATCTCTCCCACAGAGAATGAAACACTGACGCTCACAAAACCGAACGTGGGGTGGCCACGGGCTGTTCTTCCTTGAATTTAAAAACGTGACCACTTGGCCCTGGCCGGTGTGGCTCAGCGGTGAGAGCCTCGGCCAGTGCACCACAGGGTCAGGGGTTCGAGTCCCGGTCAAGGGCACGTAGTGGGCTGCAGGACTGATCCCTGGCCCCGGTTGGGGCTTGTGCAGGAGGCAGCCAGTCAATGTGTCTCTCTCTCCCCCTCCCTCCCTTCCGCTCTCTCTGAAAATCAATAGAAAAAAATATCCTCAGGTGAGGATTTTTTTAAAAATAAAGCAGGCACCCGGCTGGGCGTGGCTCAGCGGTTGAGCGTCGACCTCGGATCCAGGCGATCGGGGTTTGATTCCCGGTCAGGGCACAGGCCCGGTTGCGGGCTCGATCAGTGACTCTCTCATCATTGACGTTTCTATCTCTCTCTCCCTCTCCTTTCCTCTTTATGAAATCAATAAAGATACATTTTTTTTTAATTAAAATTAAAATTAAAAAAATTAAAAAATAAAGCAGGCAGAACAGAGCTCGGGGTGAGGCTGGCTGGGGCCCCCGGCAGAGAC